AAACATAGGAAATAGCAAGAGTGATTACAATAGTTCCTATTGCATTACATGCATAGGAACTAAAAAAAAAAAAAAGTCCTGAAAGGATTATAGTAGATTACCTGCTGTGCAGTTTTTGCCATTCCATTCTAAGGAACGAGCACACCTGTAGCCATTAACTGTATCCTCGCAAGTACCGCCGTTCTGACATGGGTTACTGTCGCACTCATTGTTGTCTGTAAGTAAACCAATAAATATATATTTAACTTTTTCCCACAAAACCTGTGCTATATATTTGTCACAACTTTACATTTGGAGAAAATCAATAATTAAGTTGTCTGGGGTCAGAAGTTTAGATAAGTCATTTATTATTATTATTTTTTTATTATTTTATTTAGGCACACAACACATGCACCAAAGATTGTCAATAGCGAATATTATCACTGTCCTACTTTGTAGGTGACAATCCCTTTCACAAGACAAACATACATACATGATGATTTACACAAACTAAATCTGAGGTTTAGGGAGTGGAGTTGTTTTGGTCGTGAGAAAAAACCCTGCAACTGACAGGAATTGAACCCATGACTAAGCTATTCAACTCCACTCCATGTGTTTCTGGGATATCTGTTTCAATGAGCTGCCTTAGCACATAAAATTTCAAAGGACACTGATTTCTGTGAGACAAAATGATAATACAGATGTAATAAAGTAGTGAAAAAACACATGGATTGAATGAATTTGCGAAAAGATGGCTTATATTTCCTGGAAATTCTTGTCCACTTGTAGGAGCACGGAAGTATTTCTGGGAGACTCGAATGACTTACAGGAAGACTTGGGAACCCCAAGTTGTCAGACAAAAAAAAAGTGTATCGCTTTTGTCGTTGCTGTTTATGTCAGGATGGATTGGATAATTGCTCTTCATCATTGCTATGGGTGATAATTTTAGTATTATTATCATTATTATGATTTGTATTATTATTATTATTATTAATTTTATTACTAGTGTTGTTAGTATCATTATTAATCAGTAGGCTTATATGCTAATTGTGAAACTCATTTGTATGATGTAATAGCCAGTATAGCAGAAAGCATTGACTTGCAACTACACTACCAAAGTGAAAGGGTGTGGCAAATACAGGTTAGCTCTACTATAATTTCCCATGGTATTTATTTCTCAACATTGTTATGTATTGTGTTTAACAAAATATTTTTAAACCACTAATTAATTACTACATTTAACACATATTTTACGACACCATAACTTAGTAGGGCCTATTAGCCTACCCTCAATTTTTATTTTGACATAGCATGTAGCTTCATTTCCTTTAGGCGATCTAATGTCAGTGAAGATGTATTCAACTATAGTTTCTCCAATTGGAAATACACCAGTAGTGACAGTAACATCATAAGCTGCATCAATTGTCATTCTATCTGGATCGATGTCTGTATAGTTGGTTGAGAACATGGCAACTTGAACATTATCAGTGACAGTAAGGTTGTAGCTGACAGTGCCATTTGGTTTTCCCTCATCAGTCACACCAGTAATTAGTGATGGACAACTTGGAACAGGTGGTTCATTGTCTAGAAATAAGTATATTTTTAATAACAGATGTATTTGACAATTATAACTTGCGGCGGCAGCAGCAGCAGCAATAATAATAATAATAATAATAATAATAAATGTTCAGAATAGTGCGATTCTGAACACGGCTGGGATCCTCAGGAATGCCCTAGAAGTTTGAGGAGACTTGTTGTCACGAAGCTTCAGGAATAATGTAATTCCACTGGATATTAATCCAATGTGCGATACCAATAATTGTAATAATATTAATAATAATAACTAGCATATACCCGTGCTCCACACGGTGTTGATTGAGTGGGGAAAGGTGGCGATGTTGTACATTGTTGAATGGGGAAGTTGAGGAGGCAATCGTTGTGGACGTTATGGTTACCATGTCATTATTTTTCTAAAGGACGTCTTTGTAGTTAAAGTTTCGAGTGTCTTTGCTGAATAGTCCTTGTGAAAAATTATTGTGCAGTGTGATCAAGGGTGGATCCAGAATGTTTCAAACGGGTGTTATATGGTATTAAGATAACTTACAAATATAGGCCAAATTAATTACTGTATACCATTGGACTGAACTTTTACCTCACCACCCCATAACTTCACTAACCTAGTGGGCATCTGTTAAATGTCTCCTTAATTACTGTATATGAAGCCTTTGACAGGAAAATGGCCAATTCATGACAAAAAGCCCAAGTGGTCAACTCCTTACATATGACTTATAAAATAAGCTCGGTTGAGAGACAGCTTGTCACTAAATATAAGTTAACTTTTATTCCCAAAGTTGTTATAGTATCTAACCAATAGAAACTCCCCAAAATGATGTAATGGTCAAATGATTTGGATAAGGTGATATCTTTCAACCAATCAGAGGAAGTCCACCACATCCCAACTTGGTATCAAAAGTAAAGTATTAGTTATACTACTGTACTAGACTTCCTTCTGATACCTTGAAGGCAACACCACGTCAAACGGGGTCAGTGCATTTGTCTGAAGGTTATTTGGTCCGAAGGGCCTTTGGTCCGAAGGTCCGTTGGTCCGAAGGGACATTGATCTGAAGGTCCGTTGGACCGAAGTAATTAGTTCAAATATAGACAAAAATATATTTGAAGAAAACACATGTTCGGGACCACCATGTAGGTCTATATTGGCTAACAATATACAATTATTGCTAGCATGACTTGTCAGCTTAGCTTATGTATATTTTTTTACAAATTATTAGAAATTGAAAAGATTCCAAGCGAATGGAGCGTAAGTATATGACTTCCTAATGTTTAAGCAGGAGATAGAAAAGATTTTAATAACAATAGGGAATTCAAGTAACTTCCTTCCAGTGTTTGAAAAATCTTAACAGATTTACTTACAGTACTTATGGGCAATGGGAAACAGTTCAGTACTTTCTCACTTTTACAAAGTAGATACATTGACAGTGGCGGCGAAAGCATCTTGAGTGAGGGGGGTGGGGGAGGAAATGAAGGGCCTGTCTTGCACATTCAAAGCAAATAAAAGTAGCACTATACACGATTTGTATCATAGTACATTGAGTTTTAATTCATAATACTACTGGTAATAGTTCAAATGAAATTCTTACTGGGAACATCTCCCTATGCACGATCGAGAGAGGAATTTTACTGATGTGAGCCAGATTTTCGTACATTTCGCAAAATAAAGGAAATATATATTTTTTTTAGATGAGGCAGCAAAAATGGATGCGGGAGGTGACAAGAAACTAGTATTTTTTCTTTTTTTACTTGGCCTTTTTGTTGTTTGGGAAAATACTCCACAAATTGTAAAGAATCGTTTTACTGCCGTATATCCTGCATACCTGGAAAATTTCGGACCAAAGTTTGTCTCCGAGTCAGTTTACAAGTACAAGTACCTCCATAGCAAAGTTTGATAGTGAGCGAGTGAGTGAAGAAAGACAAACTCTGCTAACACTACATAGTGGACAACTATAATATACACCGAAAGAACAATTATAATATTTTTTCAGCCCGTGACAATAAATGTAAAACCCTATGTATGCGGCCCACCAATGAAAATTGGCTAGTAGAAAACACCTTGTTTTTTACGGCCCGACATCAATAATTATGTAAGAAGTAACATTAAAACTGAGAACAAAGGTGATGTAAAAGCAGTGATTGGAGGTTTTTGGAAGCTCACTGGAACATGAAAGTTTGGGGGCAGCCCTCAGTGTTAAATCAAAAAAGTTCACTATGGCCCTCCGACCGATTTTTATGCCCACCCCTGCAATAGGTACAGTACTCCGAAGAGGTGTGGGAACATGCTCGTCACTTATTGGCCTTATTCGACTGGTTCATTTCATTAAATACGAATTTTCGTTGAGTATTATTTTCATTCAACTGGTTCTTAAAATAGACTTCGCTGACAACGAAAATTTACGTAACCAGAATGCGTTAAATTATGCACGTGAAAAAAAAATGGCCGATTGGTTAGTTTAGCAACAACATTTGCGTTAATATAATTTAGATTAAATTTCAGAAAATAAAAATTATAAAATTTACCAACAATGAAGTCAAAAAATTAGGCTAACAGAATTCAAGGACTGGATGAAAACATTTTTTTACGAAAAACCCATACTGCCACAATCGAATCTAATTATTAAAATATATACATATGCCTATGCCCATACAAAAAAAATTATAAATAAAATAGTAGTAATTATTAATGAGATGAATCAGCATATATTAAATCAACTTGCGTCTATATGCAAAACCTGTTTTTTTAAATAAAGATGTTATCTATTTTATTCTGTTTTAAAAATTAATCTTATAAGTTTTAAGATTATTTTCAATGATAATTTTACTCACATAATTCAAGTTTTCAATGTTAATATGGTTGATAAATAGAATATAAAATACAGGGCCGTCGGAACCGTACCGGTAGCACCGGCTATGGCCGGACCACTTTTTCTCAAAAAAATGTAAAAATAAATAAATAAATAAATAAATAAATATAGGCTAAAAGCTTAAAGGTCTTTGAAGAAAAAGACCTTCAATCCCAGCACACAACAGGTTCAGAATAGAAAAGTGAGTAGCACATAGCATGAATATGCATTGAAGTGTTTAAAATTTAGTGGCAAAAACAAGGGGACACGTGCCACAGCCGGCATGGGCAGAACCTCTACATTTGTCATTTTGGTAAAATATAAATATTTAAGTCTAAATGAGTGTCATAACCATAATTGGTCATACAGTGATGGATTCAAGGGGGTCTGAGTCGGCCTCTTCCCGACTCCTTTAATTTTGTTCAAAAAAGGGAGAAAAAAGGAAAATGTAGGCCTAAAACTTAAATTAAGTCTGCGATTGCCATTTCTGGCCATCTAAAGGTGTCATAATCATAAATGTTCTTACCTCAGCCCAACCACAGTGGGGCTAAGGTGGTTTAGATTTTCGATCTGTCAAAATCTATCCCTAGGCCCCCTGTATTTTGAAATCCTGGATCCGCCACTGGACTACCTATTGGGCCCTTCCCCCGTTAGAAAATTTCTGGATCCGCACCAGCAAGCGTCCTGAGTATAGTACTGTAATACTATCGAAGTAAACTTTGAGGAAAACATAAGATACCTGTATAATATTTCGTTCATGGTTGGCATAAACAGAGCCTAATATGTCTAGCTATGTACAGGCTTTAAAACGATGGCTAGACCCGTGTGAATATTGTCCAATATATCGTAAGATAATGAATACGATTTTTGATTCCGGCAAACACTACTTATGTACAGTAGTAAAGAATAGCCTAGATTGGGTCGTGGGTTGACAGTGCGAGAGATCCGATGTTCATGCATATACATCTTCACCGTCGTCACACTCGGTTCTCAAACATGCCTTCTATTTTACCGATTTTACGTGTGCATCTGTTTTAGATTTTATGTTGTAATGTTAATTTCGGATGCGGTATTTCTCGAAATTGTACTTGAGTGAAAGCAACAAAATTGAAAAAAAAAAAAAAAAAAAAATTTAAATGTCGACCCGAATTATTGGAAAATTTCAGTTGGTCAGGGAGGGCAACACAACATAATTTTTTTTAGCCTAATCATAGAGTACTGGTATAATATATACGGTACAATATATTGAATTTCATAATTTATAACTAACACAATTACACTAATAAAAATGCCTAAAAAATAAAATTAATTAAATAAAAATGGAACGAAAAAATATATTTGATTGTTGCAAAAGATATGAAAGCGCTTTTTCGGAAATCTACAACAGAAACAAAATTTTCCGAGGTAGGACGTCTGGACCCCGAACGGCACCCCTTCCCACTTTTCTCCAACCACCCTTACACTCCCTCAGAATGGCCGGACCACTTCCAAAATGCTTCCGACGGCTATAAATATAATAATAATAATAATAATAATAATAATAATAATAATAATAATAATAATAATAATAATAATAATAATGAAGGTGCTCGAATAATGCTTTTATAAGGAATTAATAATACTTCAATAGGCCTATTTACAATAGTGTGATTAATGAGATATTTGTTGATTAATTTATAGAAATATATGATAGGTATATACCATTAATAATGATTCAGCATATTAAATCAACTTACGTCTATAGATGTAAAATCTGGTTTTTTTTTCAATAAAATGTTGCCTATTTTATTCTGTTTCAAAAAATAATCTTAAAAAATTATAAGTTTCATTGTAAATTCTATAAGAGTTTAATCCACATAATTTATGTTTTCAGTTATATAAGCATTTAAATAACTGAGTTTGTCTAACACTGGATGTAAATGTAAAACAAAACAAAAGCATTCCCAAAGTGTTTCGAGTATGCAAATGCTAATACTATCGTGCGATTACCACATATTTTCACACAAGGTGACGAATATTCGTCGAAATGCTGTATAAATAAACTGCAATTATATAAATAATTTTCACATGAGCTTTACAAATATCTCAATTAATATAATCTTAATTAATATCTTAAATTAGTTGATTACTAATTAATTAATATATATA